AGATAATTTTCTATAATTTTTTTTATTTGATATCTTCTATAATATGATTATTTTTTTTTCTTCTTTTTAATAGTTTTGTTATAACACAATAGCATCAAGTTGGAAGTTTCTTCTAATACAATTTATTTAAAAATAATAAACTTATAGGAGAAGTTTTAACAACTATCAAAAATCTAAATATCTAATCTATATCTAAAAAACCTTTTTAAAGTTTTTTATAAAAAAAATTATCTCTTGAGCATGCTTTTAATTATTTTTACTTATTTTTGTTTATTCATACATGTTTATTGTAGGTATTTATTGTATTAGTATTATAACCATCATTAAGGTTTCAAATGGCTTAAAGGTTAAAATTAGGATGGCAAGCCTAAAATCTATATAATCAAAAATTAAATTTGTAAAGTAATAGTATTAAAAAAATTTAATTTTTTTAGAGCTTATTTTAATATATATATATATAAATCCATATAAAGGTGATTTTTTTCCTCAATCCAAATTATAAGATATGCTCAATTAAAAGTTGCTTGTAATTAGTGGTGTGAAGTAGAAGATGCAATAAATAAGAATAAGAGAAAGAACAACACAAAATAAGTGAAATAAGTGCAATTAAGCAATTACATACAACAAAAGTAGTTTATAGTTTGTTCATTGAGTTTTTATCTAGTAAAAATTAAAAATTAAAATTAAAAATTATATTGTGTATATGAATTGATAAAAGAGGCCACAAGGCCTTAGTCTTATCCTTCTAACTACTAATTAATTATTAGTAGGATTTTTGTAAGTAATATATATAGAAATGAGACCAATGTGGACATTGGTCTCAATCAGTAACCATTAATACTTAATAGTAAGTAAAAATGCTAAACCAACTAAGATAATTACCTCCAAGACTTACTAAGATTTTATTATTATAATTTTTATTCTAATAAGACTTTTTTAACTTATAAATACTTTTAAATTCTAATAAATACTTAAATAGTCAAAAAGACTCTCTAATCTTAAATTTTTTATAATTAAATGATTTAAAACTATAATTTTAACTAATCTACTAATTAAGATCTATTAATAGTACTTACAATCTATATCTAATGTTTCTTTAAAATATGATTATATATCTATATATCTATATATATATATATATATATATATATATTATAAGATCAATAAGTTTTTGCTTCCTTCCAAAAAAATAATCTATAATTATATTGTCACTTATACTTTTTACTTCTTTGTATTTAGTATTTTAATTAAGTTTATTTAATTATATAGAAAGATAGTATAACTTCTTGTAAAAATTGGACAATAAGAATTTACTTAGTTATGTGTAAACATCATTATTATCAATATGCTTCATAAGTTGTTAACATTTCTTTATATTAATTTAATCTCAACATTATAGTTGTGATATTCAATACCAACATTTGTAATTATTTGTACTTATTTTATTTAAGCAAGATTAGAATGCTTTCATACACAATGTATGTACATTGTCATTTTGGTCAAAAGATTTGAATTTAAAGCAAGTATAGCACTATATACTACCAATAATATTAACACTTAAAAATACAAAATAACTTTGAATATATGCTTGAGTACACATGTACAACATGTATGTTAATTGTTTACCTAAATAGTTACCATGCATCATCTTAAAAAAAAAAAAAAAAAAAAATTACAAAGTCATTCAATTATTACTTAGTAAAGGAAGAAAGGAAAAAAGTTTCTTGTCATAAAAAGTTCTTCTTCTTACTTTCAAAATGGAACTTATTACTGGCAGACGAATTACACGTAAATCATGCTAGGAAAGGGGGTTTGAAGACTCCCTACAGATAAAGACCCCAAACCTGACACGACAGGGTTACGGGCACTTCCGCCCTTGTCTTACGTCTCATGAAGCAGCAGCACCCTTGCACGTTCCCTCTGGACAGACTCGGCAAAAGTGGTTAGCAAGCCGCGTTCTTTTTTATGTCTGCTTCTGTTCTACTCGACGTTCCCCTCCCGAGAACCAAACCTCACATGTTCTCTCACGTGGGGAACTCGGATGTTCATATCCAATGGATCTGGACACACGTGGACACATTCAAATGGGATCCACTGTTAGGGGGACCATTGTTGGACTTGCGCTGACCTGGACAGCCTGTACACAGCTGACTGAAACAGTCTGCATTTTCTTCATCCATCCATCGTTCGTTCGTTCGTTCGTTCGTTCGACCATTAATAATCTTTCTTATGATTAGCACGTTTTTCATGTGTGATCTGATCATAAAGGTGATTTTAATATCTTGAATGATATAATGCACATTTTAGACCTCCACGTTAAATAGATATGTTGAGTACGGGTTAGAATAACCCTAAATTACAAGACGATGGCGAGTTGTGTAGAACATAAAACAGCCTTGAAATGAACGAGGTTAGTTGTTTGAATTTTTTGCTGTATCATTTCAATAGTAAGTTATTGAATTACGAATTGGGTTTAGCCTTGTTCTTCCAAAAAAAAAAGGTATGTAACATAATATTAATCGGAAAATAAACGTATATCAATTGCAAAGATAACAATACAAGGATTTTTAGTGGAGAATGTGTCTGTTGAATTGTTTGATTTTTCTATTGATAAGATCATTAGCACATACTGTTAAGGTCATTAGTTGTTTGATTCCAAGAAGCACAACATAAGATAACATGTGTGATAACGATACCGGAAAATATTGTATCTGAAATTTCTTCACTACTTTATAATTCTTATGAATGTTTTTATAAAGTTCAATCTGATTGGACACTGGCAGCAAGGTGAAAAAGAAAAAGAAAAAGAACTGCATATGATTTTTGCCTAAACAAATCTATCTGTAAAGCTTGGAATCAAGACAGTTTTATATCTTCAGACTACAATTTAAAAAGAGTTAAAAATACTTTCTTTCTCGATTTTTTGTTTTCTTATGAGATCTTACACAATGCAAAACAAAAATATAGAGTATAAATCTATAGTTTCAGAACTGACAGCTTTCAAATGCGACTATGAACTCTGAATGTGAATATTATCAGTTCAAAAATAATGTGGAACCAATCCATTTTTTAGGTTCAAAAACTTATGAATATATGTTTTTTTTGCTATTCTAATCTTCATGTTACAATTCAAAATTTTAATTCACAGAAAACAATATAAATTAGTAATGGCTTAGGCTCTATTTCAGAAATCTTGTAATTGTTGTTGTTGTTGTTGTTGTTGTTTTTATGATGATTATTATTATTATTATTATTATTATTATTTATGATGCAGTTAATAGTAGTCCAATTCAATAATACGTTCAGATACCCAAAACCATTTATGTAGACACAATTTATTTCATAGATGATAACCATACAATTTGATATTATTATTATTATTATTGTTATTATTATCATTAACATTATTATTAATTTAAATTTTCATGTTGCATTGAAATCCACCTTCAGCTTCTTTCAAGTCATTGAATATCATCGGAAGTTATTGTGAACTAAATTTAAGAACTGTAAAACTTGTACATAAATCAACACATTCCTCTCGAAGCTGAGTATTTCTTTTTGTGCTTTCTGAGCTTTTTTTATATACATATACTTGCCAAATCGGAAAGACTTATTGTAGACTCTCCGGGTTTATTTTTACATATCTTAACTAATATTCACATATATCATCATTTTGCAAAAAATTCGCCGAAGTTAATTTCTTTGCAAAAACAGAATGCTTGAGATTGAAATTGTCAAATTTGAATGTGTTCGTATTTTTAAATGCCCATAAAATTTAAATCGATATTGAATAGGACATAAAAGTATAAATTATACTGGAATTTTTTAAAACAAATTGAATGATTCTGAAGGTAAGAGACATTTTTATTAATAACCAGCATGTCTGTGTAGAAACTTTAAGCTTAAAGTATTTGTGTTGGAGCTCTGTGTGTAGATTGCAAAATGATAGTACTTCATTGTATAATCTAAATACACTTCTAAACATTACCATCTTATTCTCTTTCATTCTTAATAACTACATAATTTTAAGCAATGATTATAGTTCTATATATATATATATATATATACAGTCATACATATATAATAAATAAGTCTTCATCATTTTATTGTCCACTTGCAGACTAGTATCAACTAACCTATATCTACACAATCAAGTACAAATGTACAATTGGACCACACTAGTACACTGTGTAAATTGCATGCTTATTAAGTCACATGCTTGAATCAATATTTTGTATACTTTTGCATGTTGTGCCATGCTTCACCATCTCTAAAAGATCAATAATACAAGCACATTATCCTCAAAATTTTAACCTCTACTGCAAATATTTTCTCTTATCTCTTTTTTATTCATAGAATGTAAACATGTTGCTTAAGTTTTTGCTTAAATTACAAGATGTAACAAAACATAATAAGTTACCCAAAATCCAAATTCCTTACCGTGCATCATTAGATGAGTGCAAGACAAGACCTCCATAAGGGATTCCAAAAAACCTTGGCCACTATTCCCATATTGCTTAACAAAACTGGCTCACGTGCAGTCGCAGCTACGAGTGAGCATGTGAGGGCTCGATGTGTTCTCAGCCAAACGCAGCAATCCCCCTAGAGCTGATTCATGGCTCTGATTCTTGTTGCTGCTCCCAGTAACGTGATCCATGCTGGGCCCGAGATCCAGTGGGGGCCATGCGTGATGTCAACGAGTTCTCGGCGTGACGTCAACTAGTTCTGGGTTTGCCAGTCTCATCAAGGCTGCGTTGTTTAACCGGTGATTGTGGTGTTGAACTGACGCCCACGTGATTTTTTACTGCTCGGAACTTGTTTTGGGAAAGCATCCCCGTAGTCGGACTCTGTGTCTAGCGCCCGCCTATACCGCAAGTGGCGTGCTCATGGATTCCACGTTCCTGCCCCGGTAACCAAATCACGAGGTGATTTAACCTGAACTCATTGGCTCTCGCAAGTGCACGCTGACATGCTGGGACCTCCCCCCCTCCAAGGAATTCTTCCTTCGCCAAAAGTATAAAATGACACGGACCCTGTAATTGAATTCAAGGATCAGGTTCATCTACCAACAGTCTGGGTCAACTCGATCCGTTGCGATCTCTGGGAAACGTGAGACTTGAGCGCTGGTGACGGACTTTCGCATACAGGTCAGGAGAGCTTGTAGTGCGACTAAGACGGCACTTTGTAGAGTATTGATGTGGGTGTTGGTTGTTGTTGTCATTGTTGTTTTTCATATGTTTTTGACGAACGGAGTAGGCTCAGTTGATGGTTAGGTGAATGTAACTTTCATCTGATTGACTTGATTATGTTGGGATGGTGACATAGATCTCCAAGGTCTGTCGAAGGTGCGCGTAGATGAGACTTTCGTGTCCCTACATGTGAATAGGTCTTTCGTTGGGTCAAGGTGTTACGAGGTGCCCATCAGCGGGATAACGCTTAAGATGTATGTGTTTTATGAAGACAAGAAGCTACGAGGATTACTCGCATTAGTTAGTCGGGCTTGGTCATGCTGGATATGTTTTCAGTTCCAGCCGTTGCACTGAGCACATGGTGCGACGCTTTAGTGAGATAAGGTTTCAGAAGCTGAACACAAACGCTCATCTATCTATCTATCTGTTACTATTTCTATATATACACACGCACATGTGTGTATATATATATATATATGTATATATGCACATGTGTACCACACGTTGTCTACAACATGGTGAGTAGTTGAGGTCTAGATGTGAAGTTCACGGGGATAGTATGTGACATTTTGCAGGTGGCCGTGAAAAGTGACGAGCAGCGATTGCATCTAAAGTGATCGTGGAATGATAGCAAAATTTTGTTAACCCAACTTGAAGCAGGCATTTATATGCACTCGTAGACACTTCGCAGGCACAGCCACAAACTCAGAAGCTGAAGAGATGGCGTCCGCAGCCGCAAATGATGACTTCTTCCTGAAGGACCCACGAGAACTTTTCATGCTCTTCTCGGGTGGAGAGATCACGTTGGAGAAGCCGAAGCCAGACCCTGTTCCAGAGCCCGTGAAGGATACGGTCAACTTGTCAGTGAAATCCTCCTCGCCAGGCCAGACGGTGTTAACGAACCATCCCTCATTGCTAGATAACGTCAAGCTTTTCGGTAACAATCTGTTTGGAGGCAAACAGGGGTCTAAAGACCCGAATCTTATGTGTATCAAAACTTCGGTGACACTAGTGAGGTCAAATTTTCGAGGCCTTGATGTCGGAAACGTTTTCTCCGACATCCTTGAATTGGGACAGGAGCTTATTGGAAATCAAGTCACCTTGCAACTCGTCAGCAATGATGTGGATCCTGGTAATACGATTCAACCTGTCCTATTTGAGATTGATTTAAATTGGGTGGAGGTCTTTCCAATCTCTTGGCTGCATTTTATAGCATTTTTTTTAACACTTTTTGATTTGGTTGTTGCCTTACCAAATGTCTGACGGTTTTTCTTTTTTAATCCCTTTTCCTCTTGTGAATCTCAGCAACTGGCTCAGGAAAGTTAAGTGGAAAAGTGACCTTCGAACACTGGACAAAACCCAGAAACCTATTAAGATCAACCCCATTTGAATTCAACATGGACTTTTACGTGCCGAAGAATTTCGGCACCCCTGGGGCGATCCTTGTATTTAACGGGCACAATAACCTCGACGTTCCAATCCTGAGCACGATAACTACCGAGTTCAAGATAACGGATGCGCATGTTGTAATGCCCGACAAGAACGTCATCGGCTTCTTCTGCAATTCGTGGGTATTCGCGTCCGATATGGACAAGGACGGCCGACTTTTCTTCGCCAATAAGGTAATCTATCGACGATCGATTTCTCTTCAAATGGTTGCTTGACCTATCTGGGGGGTATTGCTACAGACCTCGAAACTCGACTCCATCATGGGCTTTTGCTGTGTTGTTGCAGTTGTACACGCCCGCTAGCACTCCCGCCGGTTTGAAGAAGCTGAGGGCGAATGAGCTGAAAGAAATTCAGGGTGATGGAACGGGAGAGAGGAAAGAGTGGGACAGAATTTATGACTACGATGTTTACAACGACTTGGGAAAGCCGGATGATCCTCGACCAACTCTAGGAGGGTCGAAGGAGTATCCATACCCCCGTCGGTGCCGCACAGGAAGGAAACTGAACCCAGGTACATGAGACATTCCTCTTTGTCTTTGGGAGCTGCAAATCATGAAGGGAGGGAATTCATTTCCATTTTGATTACGAAGCGTATAAATTTTGCGATTGCTTTTGCTGTTCATGAGTAGATGGGAAGACAGAGACCCGACTGGCGGGTAGTTTGGCAAACAATTACATTCCGAGAGACGAGCAATTCGACGAGGTGAAGAAATCAGGGTTTCTCGGCAACAGTCTGAAGGGAAAGAAACACCAGAATGTTGCAAGCTTGTTCGTCCATGAACAGGATTTCGAGAGCTTTGATCATGTGAGAGAGTTGTACGTACCGGTTGGGGAAGAGTCCTCGGTTGAGGAGGTCATTAACAACCAGCAGCAGCCGTTTGAACTCATTCGTCAATTTGTGAAAGCCTCCGGCGATAACAAGAACGCGTTCAAGTATCCGATGCCAAGACTTATTGCTGGTTCGTGATTGAATCATCCGAACACTTCCCTTTGCCATTCAACGCTGCTTCACTCGAAGCCCTAAAATCCTATTCCAAAATTAGCCTTGCTCTTCCTTCTTATTCTACTTCTTTTCCTCCTGGTTTCTGATGATTGTTTTGTTTCGACTATCCCATTTGACCTTTCAAAGAATCTGCGACTGAAATTATTGGCAATGCGTTGTGGTAACAGTTAATAAAGATGCCTGGACCCAAGACACAGAGTTCGCTCGTCAGGTGTTGGCCGGCATGAATCCCTTGCTTATTGAGACTCTCAAGGAATTCCCACTCAAGAGACCATCGGCCGTTACTGCCGAAATCGTAGAGCCTCAGCTTGAAGGCCTTACCATAGGGGAGGTGAGAACTGTGACTCCAGATTGTAGAGCATGCTGCTTCGTGAAACTCATGTAGATAGAATCTGCTGTTGAAGCACAGGTATACATTCATGTGAAATGATCACTGACTATGGCGGTGTTGCCTGTCCCAGGCCTTGGCGAAAAAAAGATTGTTTGTGTTGGATTACCATGACAGGCTTCTCGGCTATATTCAACGCATTAACGATCTGAAAACTAGTCAAGCCTACGCATCCTGGACCCTTTTCTACCTCACCAAGGACGGCACCTTGAAACCCATTTGCATCGAGTTAGCTCTTCCAGGAAAGGATGGAGGCAAACCGACTTTCCGAGTGTTCCTCCCTAGCAGGGAGAAGGACACCAAAGACTGGGCTTGGGAGCTCGCAAAAGCGCACGTTCTGAGCAACGATGCTGCATTCCACCAAGTCATTAGTCACTGGTAATTGCCCAGCTCTCTTCCACCTCATACGATTGTCAAATGTTAAAACAACTTGACAAACATTGGAATTTGAATCACAAATCCCTTTGACTGAAGCAATAATTTGCCGTGCAGGTTGCGGACGCACGCAGCGATTGAGCCTTTCATCATCGCAACCAACAGGCAGTTGAGTATCATGCATCCGGTGCACAAAGCTCTCGTCTCCCACTATAAGAACACCATGGACATCAACCAGGCTGCGCGCAAGTCCCTAATCAATGCAGGAGGAATTGTTGAGACAACATTCACGCCTCAGAAATACTCTATGGAAATCTCATCGAAAGTCTACGCAGGGTGGCGTTTTATCGACCAGGCTCTACCAAATGACTTGCTCAAAAGGCAAGCTTGCCGATTCTGATAACCCCCAACTCGACATTTCAAGGTTGTTGTTGTTATTTTTGTGTGCATCCGGTCGTGGCTGCAATTCTCAATGTAATGATAAGATTCACATGTTGTGCGAGCAGGGGTATGGCAGTACGAGATCCAAGCGCTCCTCATGGACTGAAGCTGGTGATAGAGGACTACCCATACGCAAAGGACGGTCTTGATCTCTGGGCAGCAATCCGCGCGTGGGTGAAGGACCACATCGACATCTTCTACGCCGACGACAAGGCGGTGAAAGCAGACGAGGAGCTTCAAAATTGGTGGACCGATGCGCGAACCAAGGGTCATGCCGACATCACCGAAGGCTGGATCCTGGCAGACTCCAAGGACAACTTGGTGCAGATCATCACCACCATCGCCTGGGTGGCGTCGTGCCACCATGCTGCCGTGAACTTCGGCCAGTACCTGTACGCGGGCTTCATGCCCAACCACCCATCCATGACGCGCAAGCTCATCCCGGAGGAAGGTACCCCAGAGTGGGACGCCTTGCAACTCAACCCGGAGAAGTATATGCTGTCCATGCTTGCCAATGCGGTGCAATCAAAGCTGAACATAACCACCATCGAGATCCTATCGACGCATGCGTCTAACGAAGAGTATCTCGGCGAGCGTCCCGCCGGCTGGACCGATGACGAGAGGGTGAAGGCTGCGTTCAAGAAATTCAGCACCCGAATCGAAGAGATCAGTGCCCTCATCAAGTCCCGAAACAAAGACCCTGCCAACAAGAATCGGCTCGGCGCCGTTAAAGTTCCTTACGAGCTTCTGCAGCCAAAATCAGGCCCGGGGCTCACTAATAAGGGGATTCCCAACAGCGTGTCGATCTAGGCAGACAGTTTCCGACACCTGCTGATGCCTCGATCCGTCGCGGTGCTTCACTACCGACACACTGACACCTGGGGTTGGTGACAAGCTTCGACGTCGCCGACCTCCCCTTGGGAGATGCTTTCTTCGCACATCCCCCTCATTGTACATATCGCGATTTATTTCCCCACCTTGTAACTGAACCCTGAATAAAGGTGGACTTTTTTCTGTCTTTAAAATTTCGAAGATGGAAGTGGATCTTCATTGCTTATGTACATGTGGAGCTCGTAAAGATACTTTGTGAATAGTTGTGTGTGTACCTTGTAGAATTCAATTGTTTCTTTGTATGGAGACGTTTGGTGAATGTAATTCTTTTGTGTTCAGTTTCATTGCAGTTCTGTTCCAAGGTTTCCTGTTCACATGTTGGTGGTTTTCTTGTGGATATAGTTGTGGATCCTGTGTGGATCACAGCCGATGAATGTTTTAACATTGTCTTTACTTTTAACACGATGGGATTAAAAGGTATGATGTGCATCTTGTCTTGAAAAGAAATTGTCATGATAACTGAATTGACAGGTGACTTAGAATAGAGATTGTAATGTCGAGTGTGAAAATAATTTAGAAAGTAACAGAAGTACTCAGTTCGGTTGAAATAATGGAAAATAGTATCAGTTGTAATTTCGAATTATGCCTAATATTCAGATTTTTCGATAGGTTTCACAACAATTTCTTGTGATTCTCTAATGAGCAATAAAAAAACAACTTGTGTATCTGCATGTCCAAACGTCATTGAATGATATACGTTCATATTCATGGAGTCCTAACAAAATATTAATTTGTTTTTACAGATTTTAAAAATCTAAAATTTAATAGTATGTTTAACTTGTATTGTATGAAAGTTTATTTGTTGTATTTGGACACACACACACACACATATCTATATATATATATTTTTTAATTTTATCTTCTAAGTTTGTAGTATTACTTGCATTCTTGTATATGTTCATGTAAATAAGATGATTTGGATTTTTCCAAATCATCGTTGAAGCTTGTAAAATCAAAAACAGTGATTCAAAATTTTAAAGTGTTTTGATGTTCTTTATTTGAATACTAATATTATATTCTTATTTATTTAAATGATATTAAATAATTTTGGTGCTAACTTGATTGTTTGAAGAAATCAGGTATGCTTTTTCAATGCATGTATCTTTGGATATTTGTATTGAGTATGGATTTTTAATCTTACATACATTGATTTTTACTTCAAATGTTTATTTGAGTATTTAGGAATTAAATGAAGAGGAAAAGAAATAACTTTATTCATTTGCATAAGAGTGGTTTCAAAATTATATAATAATTTTATTTTAAAAATAAAACATATAAAAAGAGTTTGATATTTACAAAAAATCTCTATGAAACAATTAGAAAAAATATATTTTGCATTGAATGATTCTGTAATATTTTGTGGAAATTTTATTTATAATTTTTTATTTGACTCGTATGTAAAAAATCATTATATATATATAATTAAATATAATTACCTTCATAAAATGTGTATATATATATATATATATATATATATATATATGTGTATATTTTTATTTATTAAGATAAAGTATGTGAATTTCAAACATGTAAAAAGTTTACTTCAGTTTGTATAATTAAATTAAATCTTACATAAATCATGAAAAGAAAAAAATAAAAAATAAATGTAGATAAATTTAATAATTTGTGTAATTATATTATCAACCCAGAAATTCCTAACATAAATTAGAGTATTAACATGAATCAGAGTATCAGTGAAAAGCTACAATTACAATCTTTTATGTTTTGTTGTTATTGATTATGCACCCAAAGTATTTGTTGAAGCTAAATGATCTCCAAAATGTAATGCATATTTGGTAGAAAAAGCTTATTCTATGAGATCCACACAAGGTTGTAAAAACAACACACTATTCTATCCATGGTCTTGCAATATTATCAACAATGAAGATGTTCACATCATGCTTTAGAGGTTCATGCAACTACATGATGGCAACTGGGCATAGTGAGATTATTATTGAAGACAAGCCTTCTTCTTGTAATAAGTCTTGAGAATGTAAATAAAGTAATTACATAGCAACATACACACCTCTATATTTAAAGAGAAACTTTTCATGTTCAAATTCATATTGAAAAAATAGCAAAGATAATCAGTACAATTAATTAATTATTAAGAAATTAATTGATCTTTAGAAATATCACTTTGATTGATAATCAAGATGAAAGGGGATGTTGGTGTAAAACTAGAAGTTACATGTCTATGCATATCTTAATATAAATCTATTAATAATAAATCAAGGATAAGATTTCAACTAACAATCACCTCTGCATCAAATGATGAAAGTTACCAATAACAATAATATTCTATGAGTATGTATATATGACTCTATGTAATCTATAATTTTCTTTATTTTTCTAGTAAAAAATATTTGAAATAAGTTTATACATTGTAGTGTTTTGCAATGGGGATCATTCTTCTTAATGCTACATTTATTTTTATTTATTTTTTATTTATTTTTGTTAATTCTTTGATACTGTTGATATATTTGTAGAGGATTTCTTTGTTTATTTATTTACCTTAAGCTCTACAATATCCTTTCTTTTTTTGGTGATTACTATGTTTAATTTCCACTTCAATTCTATATTACTTTCTCTACCTCTAGATTCTATTATAAAATATATCTTATAACCAAAGTTAAATAATTTCTTGTCTCCATCTTTGTTATGGCAATTATGGTGTGTTAATAAGATTTAGACAAAATTTGTTGATTCTTTATTTGAATGATGGGCCCTAGAATTTGTAAAGCTAGATTATCTTAGATATTTAGTGACCATTGCAAAGAACAATTTCAATTGGGAAGCCTAATTGATAGATTAAACAATGAGATTTCATGTCTATCTTTCATACTATGTGAAAAACTTATTGCTTTTTCTACTTCTATCTCTCATAACCATTCTTTGTGTAACTCATCAAGTTTGGAGTTCTTTACTCAATGACAAGAATCAAGCTTTGTACTATCTTAAATCCTAATAGCCTTCTATAGTTGTAAGACTCCAAATGCTTAGATCTTCTTTGAATTTTTGAACTTCCCTTCATCTAGTGGCTTAGTCATGATGTTTGTAATTTGTTCTTGTGTAGATACATAAAATAATTCTACTATTCCAATAAGAAGATTTTAATGAATGAAGTGATGCTGCATTTCAAATTTTTTAGATTTAGGATGATAGATTGGATTTTTAGCAAGTTTGATTATATTCTAGTTATTACAAAAAACAAGAATTGGTTCAATTTCTTTTGCTTCAATTCTTTGCAGAGGTGTTTTTAACCAAATCGCCTCTTTGATGCCTTTTGCAATATCTTTTGTTTCAACACTTGTACATGATGTTGCTACTATTACCTATTTTTTGGATGTTCAAGAGATTGATGCTTTGGCTAATTTGAATACATATGTTGTAAATGATTTTCTATCATTGGGATTATTTGTTTAATCAACATCTATACATTCTCGAATTTTTATGCTCTATGTTTTTTGATACAAGATCCCAAAGTTCAATGTAACTTTTATATATCTTAATATATATTTGGTAATTTAAAGATGTATTTGTATTGGTCACTGCATAATTGGCTTAAAATTCTTGTTATATATATTAAATTTAGTATTGAATTTAATAAGTATATTATCTTGTCGACTAATTTTTGGTAGTATATTACAGTTATAGATGGAGAATCTTCTTCTTTACCAAGCTTTAGTCATTCAAGTATTGGTACAAAAAGGTAGATTTTTGTGAGTCAAATTCAACAAGGATGCTTTTCATTTAGATTTATTGTTTTAAGAGAAGACCTTTGTTGATAGATATAAATTCAACACTTAAATATAACTTGAGCTTGCCTGTATTAAAAATGTCAAATTTTTCCATTAGCTATATATTTAACTACCTCATTTGAAAAATATTACTACCTATGAGAAGCAAGTCATTAATATAGAAAATAAAATTATTACACAATCGTTATCTTGTTAATAATATAAATTGTAATTTACTTTTGTACAATTCATATTGTGGCTAAAAAGGAATGTATCAATTTTTTTGAATCAAGTGTGGAGAGCTTGCTTCAATCCCTAGAGAGATTTTCATAGCATGCACAATTTGTGAGTTGTATTAAATTGAGTAAAGTCCTTTTGCTGAACCATGTAAATTGGTTTATCAAAATTGTCATTGAAAAAGACAATCTTTACATTGAAATGAATCATCTCCTCATTGGTAGTAGTTGCTTTGGCAAGTATTGTTCTGATTTTATTCCACTTTGTTATAAAAACAAATACTTTAGAATAGCTGATCCCTTCTCATTGTTGGAAGCTATAGGCTATCAAATGCACCTTGAGTTTTGTTGGCATACCATTAGGTCCGAACTTTGTTTTAAAAATCCACTATATTGTTACAAGATGTGATTCCATGGAAGGATCTATTAGCTCTCAAGTTTTATTTTGTGTAATCAAATCTTAATTAATTTCAATAGCAATTTGCTAGGCATATAATATATAACATGAATTCTTGCTTAAAAGTGCACTAGGCATCTAACTATGGAAAGTAAATAGAAAATACAACAACAAGATTCTACCAAGTCTAATAGAATGTTAAATAAATTATAGGTAGTTCTTAACAATCATAATCAAACTTTAATCAGTCCAAAAGAAAATTTTAAAACATTACAAAAGAAACATAAAAAAGTCATAAATTAATCTCAAAAAAGAATAATAAAGAAAGCTTAAAGAAATATAAAATAAAAACCTTAAAGAAATATATATATTTTAAAAATATTAAAAATAAAATTCTCAAATAAATCTTAGATAAATTATAATCAAATCTTAATGTAGCCATAATCAAGTCCTAATTAAATCCTAACCAAATTCTAGCCAAATTTTAAATTTTAGATCAAATCCTAATAAAATCTTAATCAAATCTTAATCAAATTGTAATCAAATCCTAATCAAATCCTAATCAAATTCTAATCAAATTCTAAATCCTAATCAAATCACAATCAAATTTTAAACAACTCCAAAAAAATCCTAAATAAATCTTAATCAATTTTTATAGCTATTTTAAAATTTCAATAAATATTAATTAAACCATTGGTCTCAATTAAAATTTTACTCATATCTCAATCCACAAGAAATTAACAATTATACAAATTTTGAGATAAATCAACTTATCAATTTAGAAGA